ACACATCATGTCCCCTTGTTAAAGATGCAACACATGAAGAGAAAGATGCCGTACTTGGAAAGACATTGGGAATCCTTCAGCTTACTTCACTGCGGGTGTCAAGGTACCTGCCGTGGTGTATTCAACGACAAGTTCAGTTAGGACTCTATAGAATATAAAATTTCAGATTTTTGAAATTAGAATGCCAGCTTTGGAACTATATTTAAGAGGTTTTTTTGTTTAATAAAATGTAATTTTCTCTCTTTTTCCTTCTCTTTTGTAATTCTTGCTATATCGAGCTCCTGTGTTCGCTCCTGGCAGAAGGCAAGAATAGGTAAACGGGAAGAGACTGTTGATATAGAACTTTCTTCACAATCTAGGGGACTTGTTAGTGACCTCTCAGTTGCCCTGGTGGAATTTAAATTTAGTGTTTATCATTCGAAGTGTTATCTAATAATTTGGACATATATTTTGCTGAAGTTGGCTTTTAGAAAAGGTGTACAGAAATTGCGCTGTAACTAATTAGTATTTTACAAGAAGCCCTGTAAACCAAACAGATCATAAATAAGTCCAACTCCAAAGGCTATGGGGTTACACTGATTTACTGCAAAGATTTTGCACACTTTTTCCTCGGGAGGAAAACACCCTAATCCCAAACCTTAGTCATATCCTTAATCACTGACAATGTTTTTTAATTTGTAGTAGTTCTTTCTAATTCATTCAACTGTGTTCCTTGGAGCTACTGGCTGGTAAACACTCGAAAGGCTCACTTTTTTTCCTTTGCTGTAAGAACACCTATTTTCTAATTATGATAAATTAAATTGAGGGGAGAACAGTCAAAATGAAAGGGCAATACCCATGGACATAGTAAAAATAATGTTTAAAGCTTCTTTGCTGATTAAAGAAATTATCTATGCTAATTATAAATACTTAACTATCACAAAAATACATAACATGGAAAGAAAATGTCTCATAATCCTACACTCATAAATGCTCAGTATTAACGTTTTTCTTCATATTCTTTATTATTTTTTTCAAAAACAATTTTTAAAAGCTCTTTTAATATATTTGATGACAAGGAAAAAATGAGAATCATTGAAATATATTTGGAGGATTTAAGGAATTGAGGGTTTTTTCAGAATGGACTATAAATAAAGGTTAATGGAATGAAACCAAGCCAAAGAGTATAAATAGGAAAATTCCAAATTGGTAATCCCTTGTTTTATTGGTGACAGTGAGACAAATTGGGAAAATGACAAAAGATATTTAAATGGGACAAAAACCTGCACAATTGGGAAAAAAAAAACCCGAAGGTGTTCTGTAAAAAATAATCCAACGTTGATCTTAATAATTGAAGTTTAAAAGACCTTACTTCTTTGACCTACAGGTCAGAGACTCCGTGCTTATATATTCCTGAAGAGGAGAGTCCTTTGCAGGTTACAAAATGAGAGGATTTCTCCACTCCGAGTGTTAGAGCTCTGTGCTGTCTTTCTCTCCTCAGGATCCAAAGAAAGCATGATTTCTTCGGCATCCTTCTGAGACAGTGGTTACAGTTTACATTTTCTTAAATAAACTCACAACAACCTAAACTTAGTGTTGCTAGATTTTTTGGATGTGAATAAATAATTGAGTTGGCAGTCTTAGAGGAGGAATAATTTTTTACCTCCCTTTCTAACATTATTTTTAATTTCTCTAAAATGAATCTAAACCTCTCAGTTGGTAGCTAATGCGCGTTGCTGTGCATCAGTTGAGAATAGTTTTTGCCCTATGTGTAGTATCCTCATGTGGGAAGAGAAAGAAGTGTGTTTCTTCCCTGCTTCTATAAAATTTTCTGTATCTCTCATGGAATCAGAAGAGGAGAATTCAAAAATTATACTGTCGTTTTCTAAATTCACATGATTTGAGTTATGTCATTTCCATGGTGAGTTTAAAAATAGCTATTATGTTTACAACCAGGAGATTATTTGTGAGATTTTTTTATTTATCAGTGTTTAACCTTTACTCTGGTTATATAGGAATATATATCACCAGAGGTCTTCTAATAAGAAGTAAAGAATGAAAGAAATAAAAGTATATTTATGTGCACAAATATTAATGGTTCAGTATATGGGTCCAAGGGAATTTTATATCGATTTTAATGCTACTTAATGTTCATTCCTTTCTTTTCCCTCCTATTCTCAGCCTGGGACCTTGAGAATTTTACAATCTTATGGAGAGCCAGGTAGTGTGATTTGGAAAGATTACAGAGCTAGCAGCAGAAAATCTGTTACTAATCAACTGTGTTACTTTGTGTCACTCACCTAACTACTGTGTGCTGGGATGTCCTCATCTGAAAAATAGGTGCAGTATTATCTGTGTCACAAGCTTGTAATGAAGATAACATAAGTAACATAATAGTACTTTGAAAAGTTAAAGGTATTAAATAATCATGGACTATGATAAAATTATTAACTATAAAACTGTTTATACGCACCACCTGTTTTAATGGAAAATGGAATGTATTAGCACCATCTTGTGGAAATATAACAAATTGTATAATAGCAATTTTAATAAGATAATTTGGTACAAATAACACTTTGGAGCTGCAAGAATCCTTACAGATCCTATAGTTCAGAACACAGGTTTAGAAACTGTGTTCTGTGGCACCCCAGGGTTCTGCCAGAAGAGCCTTGGAATCTCTTTTAAGAGGAAGAGGAGCCTCACCCACAATTCTGTAAGATCCCCACCGTGCTTCAGCGAGGTTAGGCTCTCGTCACTTTCCTGTGTAGTGTGTGTCCTTGGATGATTTTGCTTGCAAAACTGATTTTCCTGCTTATAGTATGAACATGACAGCTATACATCAACTTCATTTTGTACAAATAAGGAAATGGGAATTGAGAGAGATGAAGAGGTTTATAAAAG